CATCCTGGCTTGTGTCAGCACTGGCGTGGCCAGCAGGGACAGGGAAGGGATCTGAGCCCTGTACTCAGCACTGGTGAGACTGGGTTCAGTTTTGGGCCCCTCACTACAAAAAGGCCATTGAATGACTCGAGCGTGTCTGGAGAAGGACAACGGAGCTGGTGCAGGGTCTGGAGCACAGGTCTGCTGGGGAGCGGCTGAGGGAACTGGGGGGGTTTAGTCTAGAGAAGAGGAGGCTGAGGGAAGACTTCATCGCCCTCTACAGCTCCCTGACAGGAGGGTGCAGAGAGCTGGGGATGAGCCTCTTGAACCAAGTAATAAGCAATAGGACAAGAGGGAATGGCCTCAAGTTGCACCAGGGAAGGTTTAGACTAGATATTAGGAAGCATTTCTCTCCAGAAGGGGTTGTTGGGCATTGGAATGGGCTGCCCAGGGAGGTGGTGGAGTCCCCATCCCTGGAGGGGTTTAAGAGTCAAGTCGACATAGCGCTGAGGGATCTGGTGTGGTTGGGAACTGTCAGTGTGAGGTTAATGGTTGGACTGGATGATCTTCAAGGTCTTTTCCAACCTAGACAGTTCTGTGATTCTGTGTGAATCTGTGATGGGAGTCATCTTCTTATGCCTCTAGCTCACCTTGTATTCTTCTAGGCACAAATTAGATTGAGACTCTGTCATTATGTAGTACCAGAAAGCAGTGACATTTGTGCCCCCATGATCTGGACAATTTGTACCCACAACTTTAAGCCTAGGATGAGTTTCAGCTATGATCACTGTTTGTACAGCAGAGTTTAAGAGTTAGGGTTTCATTCTGGTCATTTCTGTGTTAAATAATGGGACGAAGGACCACTGAGACCCAGACCTCAGTGATTTATGCTGTTGGCACTATTGCTGGATTAATGTCACTGCCCTTTTTCAGGCCTTTTGAGGAGCTAGATTTGAGACTATAGCAATGTGCTTGTGTCTCCTTCAGTACACAATGTAAGACAACATCCCGCCTCTTTTAATCTACCGATTCCTTCAGGCTGTGGAACTCCTGCTTTTCTTTCTCCTACCGGTTTCTTATGAGACGTTTCCCCCTTCTCAAACAGCTGTGATGCATCGCTCTCCACCACTGGCACTGTCCTAGGCCTCACCTTAGCCCATACTGGAACCACATGGCTTTATCCCAGTCGCAACCTCATTTGTCTGACCCCTTTTTTTCTCTCAGGATTGGGAGCCCTCCCCTCCTGAGAGCGAGCTCCAAGCCAGCATCGCTACTGAAGTGGTGAGCGTTCCACTTCTACACTTCATGTGAAACACCTAGATGTTCACCTCTACGCTTTGTGCAGGTGATGGCAAGAGTTGATTTCCAGATTCTGATGGAAGCATTGGATATTCTTCAAAGCTTAAAGAGCTGATGGGCTGCTTTCAGCACTAGCAAGACTTGAAGTATATACCAAAGCATATATCTAGAAAATAAGTGATGGGCATCTATTACACATGGGAAAAAAATACATTAGAGCAGTAGCATTCTTTGGTAAAGGTTGTCATTAACTTAAATTTATCTGCAATTATGCTACTCATCTGAGCTTTATAACTTCAAATAATCAGTCTTTTTTTTAACGAAGGGAAAGGAAGTATGGCACCTCCTTTTTATGGAGATTAGTATTTGTGAATAGTGCCTTTGAGGTAGTCATGCACATTTGATTAACTTGTTGATCAGTGCACAAGGTTTTAAAGAATTACACTGTATACATGGATCATTACTTTCCATTTTATCTCTTTTCTGATCTCCCTGAGTGACTGGGTCATTGCCAACCATACTCATGTGGGAGCTCTGGGCTTCTGTATCTGCTTAATTAATCCTGTTCTGAAAAGACATTACATAAACCCGAACTACAGGCTGTTTTCCCTTAGAGGAAGTCCTCATCAATGTCTCCCTGTTAATGCTGTCATGGTTCATTAATCTTTTTCTCTGTTGTACGTTGTGACCCAGCTACCTCAGGACAGATGTCAGGAATCATACAGAATCAATTTGTGGTAGGGTGCTGGCTCGTGGAATTGGAGTAATGGGTTCAGACGACCTCAAACTGAGGAGAGGTAGTTTCTGAACAAGTGTGCTACCCTGCAGACTGCTAGACTGACCGCCTTGCCTTCCATCCTTCCTTCCATTGTTCAGCCACACCACCCCTCAGCAGGATGTTCAACCTGAGAAGTGCCCTCAGCATGTTGAATCCCAGACAAATACAGGAATTATGACTCTATAGAGCCATTTAGACTCATCCTTGCACACAGGGTTTTCTGTACCTTCTGGGCAGAGCATCAAATTCTCCTGGGGAGGTTGACCCTGTGCAATCATTAAAGAGACGTGAGAATGTCAGCTGAGCCAGTTACCTCTCTGTGCAGACTAAGGAGCTTGGAGATCAGCTTAGGACTCTGGATACCTGATCTCTGCCCCTTCTGTTTATGCATCAGTATTCTTCTGCTAGGCTCCTTCTGGAGTATATGAACATATTTCATAACCTTCATCCAGAAGGACATAATATTTCAACATCAATTTTCATGGGGACTTTACTGGTGTCCAAATGAGGTCAGAAGACATTACTTAAATATAGTAACCACTGGCTTCACCAATTCCAATTGATTCTCTACTTCAGTTTAATGATGCACTGTTTAGTTTTCAGTGCGTATCCAAGGCATTTATTAATTGGGAGATGTACCAAGGATGTCTTATTGCTGTCTGGATTTTCTGACTGCAAGGGTAATGAATGACTACTTGATGTTGAGGAAATTTCAACTAGTATTCTTCCAAGCAGAACACATTCAGAACATTTTCTGACCAAGGAGAGACACATTTCCTATTTCTGGGACTTCCTCATTAACTCTGCATATTCTGAAGTGTAAAATCAAACTGAACCTGATAGGAAAGTTTGCCCTTATTTTTCAAAGCTAAGTGAAAAATATGGGATAGAGGTGGGATAACTTTACATTTTAAATGGAAGTTCATGTTAGAGTTGATGAAAAATTACTTTCAGAGCATTTGAAGGTGCTTTAGCCTCCTTCAGTTAAATCACAAGTGGTTAGGTCTAGCTTTAAAATTCTTGTGGTAAGTGGAATCAGCAGCAAGGTGTGCTGAAACCACCCTGTGGAAATCCTGTTTTCAGTTACTTATTTCTTTAAACAGACATGAGCCCTTTGAAGGAAAATGATGCATTTTGGTAATGTATTGTAGTTGTTTGTGTCATATCTTTAAAAAAATACCTAAAATTGGGGGAATGGGAAATAAAGATTGGGATTTCAGATTTAGGGAATTATGTGAGAAATGCTGCTAGGAAAACATACAGGTTGCAGGTAGAAAGTAGGAAAAAACAGATTCCCCGGATGGAGACTGAAAGGGAGGGCAGAAAGACAGAGGCTAAAAGGGATACAGAAAGAGATAGCTGTGCATAACAGAAAGGAGGAGCCCAGGAAGGATCCTGGAAGCAGACTTGGGATGGACAAAGCAACTGGAGATAGTTGTGGACAGAGGTTAACAAGACACTGCGGGGTGACAGTCTTAGGAAAATACGGGAGCAGTGGACAAAGTGGGCTGAGACTTCTCAGGACTGCAGGAAGGTCTGGAGAGGGAACCTGCAGCAGAGGCAGAAGAAAGGACTGAGCCCGAGGGGAGTGAGATGTTTTGACCCACTAGAATGTTCTCCCTTTTAAAGTGACACAGAGCACAAGCTCTGACACTTACCACACATGTCTGTGAAACACACGTTTAGGTTTTCAGTCCCTTCCACTGCCACAGGCATTGAAGTTTAAAGTCTCCTGTTGTCATGACCCTTCCCTGTTTTTACAGAAGTTGGAAGACATTGAGAGGCATTGCAAGAGGAAAGAGATGGTGACATAGCAAAGACTGCGTTTGCCCCTGAAAGCTAGACTTGGTTTTGCCTCTTTGTTCATAAGTGATGTCAACCAGGCCTTCAATCTTGCAGGCGTCCGTGGAAGGTTTGATGTGGCCTCAAGAAATCTCACCGGCGGAAGCTACTGCTGGAGTCAAGGAGAGCTGTATTCTGAGCGCCAAGTGCAGTCCAACGGCAGGTACTCTGAAATGGCACTGAAGGTCAGTTTACACGATAAATATACACGATGTGGGCACTTCTGTGGTGTAAACATCCAGAATCTGAACTGTATCTGTGAGGACAAATTTAATTTCTTGGTAGAGCAGCACTATATACTGCCACAGCAGTTGTCTCTCGATGTACTCGGCGTGTGTCAGAGTGTTTAATCAGGTAATTTTTCGGATTAACTTTTCCATTTTTCCTTTTATTTTTGAATGCAGATTTTATTGGTTCCCAATTGCTTTGGCCAGTTCGGATTTAAACGCTTTGGATCTAGCCTTTCACTTTCACAGCAAAATCGACTTTTAATTTCTACATGCAGAAAGTACAACATTTCCTCTGCTCTTCCGTCTCAGACAAAATCCGTCACGTTTTCACCCAGACAGCAGAGCAAGTGTTGGCAGCCTCGCTGCGCCCCTGGGCAGTGTGGGGACCCCGCCTCCATTGCCTCCGCGCCGCGACACGAACTACAGCTCCCGGCATGCCCCGCGCCCCCGCCCGGCGCCGCTAGCCGCGGGGCGCGCGCGTTGCACCATGGGAGTCGTGGTCCGCCCGCCCCTCGCC